ACCACAGTTGGCCAAGGGCAGGGACAAGGTCATCCCTGGCTTGGTGACCTTGCCCTTCTCTCCTTCCTGATCTTGCAGAGGCCCGACAGCCAAGCCTGTGCTGAAGCCTGCTTCCGACCGGTGCGTGCACCCTTCCCAAGTTCCCAGCGCATGACATCACTTTAGCCAAACCAAACAGCCAAGCCCACTGTCGTAGAGCTGGTTTTCCAACTCAGGACAACCCTATAAGCCAGAGTACAACTGCCCCCTAGGATGTCTAAGACTATAAATATTTATGGAAGCAGACTGTCACCACATTCTCCAGTGGAGCAGCTGGTAGATTTGAACTGTCAACCTTTCGGTTAGCAGTCAAGCACCCAGCCACTGTATCACCAGGGCTCCTTGGGCATCGCATTGTCAGTTTACTATCAGCTCTGTTGGGAGGTGTTCAGCACTGACCAGTAAGTACACCACTGGGAGCGGCCTGTCTCAGACAGGTGAGCAAGTGCTTTTCCAGAGACAGAGGGACGAAAGAATTGACCTCTGACCTTCATAGACTACTCACTGTCATCGAGTTGATTCTGAATGATTAGCAACCCTATAAGACAGAGTAGCACCACCCCAGTGAGGTTCCGAGACCGTAACTCTTTACTGAAGTAGACAACCTTGTCTTTCTCCTGAGGAGCAGCTGGTGGGTCCAAACTGCTGACCTTGTGGTTATCAGCCTCACGGGTAACCTACTACATCACCAGGGCCCCTCTAGCCATCTCTTTCCTTCTTTTTGCAGGGAGCCTCAAGCCTGCTTCTCTTGGGTGTGTGTGTGTGTGTGTTTTGTTTTTCGTTCAAGTTCAACCAAGCCCAGTTGAGCCTGGAATCTTGAGCAGCTTCAGTGTAAATATGATCGCTGTGACCCTTTGTGTCTCACGAGCCTCGCTGTTGCTAGCACATTCTGAAGGATGAGCTTCTTCGGGGCTCTTTTTCCAGCAACATGGAGCTATGGACCCCTGAACATTTGTGTGGCTGGCTCAGGTGTTTCCACTGGGGCCTCCTTACCACAAGAACAAGGATCCCGAGATCTTCATATTTCCCAAACGTAAGGGGAAACCATATCCCACCAGTTTTTCAATACCTACTGTCCAGACAAGATGATCTCATGGAGTCATACTATCATCACATTCAGGGGCCTCCCCCCCAAACTAAACTCACTGCCATTGAGTGGATGCCGACTCAGAGCAAACCTATAAGACATGGTAGAAGTGCCCCCTGTGAGTTGTCAAGACTGTACCTCTTTAAGGGTTAAGTACAAAGCCCTGTTTTGCTCCCTCAGAGAGGATGGTGATTTAGAACTGCTGACCTTATGGTTAGCAGTCCAAAGTGTAACCATGACAACACCAGGGCTCTCCAGCGCTCTAAAAACTAATAATTATAACCTGTTGTCATTTAGTCGTCAATCAGCGTAGATTTTCCCCTTTGATCTTTTTTTGGTAATTAAACATTTTTATAGAAGCAGACTGACACATCTTTCTTCCATGAGCATGGGATTGAGCCGATGACCATTTGGTTAGCAGTCAAGCACTTAACCACTGTATCTCTAGGGCTGCTTAACTAGAAGATAAGGGTTTGCTATTTCTGGTTTAACCTTGGCTGGCTGCCTCTGGGCCCTAGGAACACCAGTGATTCACTAGTCAAATGACCCTACACTTCTGGCCTTAGAGAGCCATTTTTAAAACAGTTTTATGGGCATATAATTCACACATCATACAATTCAAAAGCGCAATCATACTAAAAAGAGTTGCACCATCAATTTTAGACCATTTGCTCAGTTCTTGTGATTAATGGTTATCAGCTCACCATTTCCCCCAACCTCCCCTGCCACGTCCTCCAATAAACCATCGATTTAGTCATCGTCTCCATAGTTTGACTTATCCTGAATTTCATATACAGAAAAACATATTCAAAAAGTATCCAACGCCCCCCCCACACACACACACACACTGCACTTGGCATTGAGAGCAAGGCTATTCACACTTCTGGTCTATGGTCAGAGGGAATTCACTGGAGGCTTAATTTATGTGTGGATGCTGCAAATGGATTTGGGGCTCACACTGTCATCCATAGCCTTCTGCAAACTAGGTGTTCACAATTTCAGCCCTGATACCATTCCCTCCTTTAGATTTAGATTTTATTATTTATAATCCTTGGATCGCAACTAGCATAAATAGCCCACCCAAATGCACATGGTTGAAACGTTCCTTAGAGTGAGTCTGTCATTTCATGTCTCATCAACTCAACTTCAGAAAAGGTTACACAGTATGTTGGTACTGGAATTTTAAGATAATGAAATATTGTGTGGAAAAAGAATCTTATCGATGCAGACCAGAATTTCACATTCTTATGGAATCCAGATCCCCTGGATGTATAGAGGCTGGATTAGCCCCCAACACTATTGCCCTGGGATCATCTTTAAACCTTAAGCCAAAAGCAACCCCTGAAATTCTTCTTAAAACCAAATAATAGTTAAGCTTCATTAATAGAGAATAGCTGCCTAAAGCACTGTCCTCTTTCAAGGTCTACCTCTATGGGACCAAAGTGGCTATGGCAACTCAATAGATTACATAAGAACCATAGGCAGCAGTGAGTTTGATGTGAATGGGGGAGGACCAATTTGGAAAAGGAGGGTGGGAATGGTTGCACAACTCAGAGAATGTCATCAAGGCCCCTGAATTGTTTATGTAGCAACTGTTGAACTGGTGCATGTATTATTGTCTTTGTTCTCAACCACACTGACAAAAAAATGAATCATGAAATCTCAACTTATTTCCATATGTGTGTGTATGGGGGTACCCCCTCAAGTTATTTTTTTTCAAAGCTATGCATTTAATTGTTTTTTACAAAACAACCTTATCACCTTCAAAGTACTCTCCATAACACTTAATACATTTGTCAAATCTGCGATTCCATTCTTGGAAACATTTTCCAGACTTGTCTGTTTGGACGGCTGACAGCACCTCCCTCGCTTGGATGGCTGACAGCACCTCCCTCGCTTTGTCTTCACCTCTTCTACATCATCAAATCTCTGTCCTTTCGTGTCCCTTTTCATATGAGGAAACAAAAAGAAGTCACACGGAGCAAAGTCAGGTGAGTAAGGTGCATGGGGCAAGAGAGGCATGCTCTTTTTTCCTAAAACCTGGTGCATTAAGATGGCTGCGTGAGCAGGTGCATTGTGGTGGCAAAACCAGTCCCCCATCTGCCACAAATCAGACCTTTTCTTGTCGCACTCTGTTACACAATCTTTTCAGAACCTCTAAATAGAAAGCTTGATTAACAGTCTGACCTGGTGGAATGAACAAACTTCAAATGCACTATTCCCCTTACATAAAAAAAAAGAACATTGGGGTTTTTTTGGGGGGTATATATGGAAATAAATTGATCATCACCAAAGAATGGAGAGCTTGCTAGATAAACCATGCCATGCTTTGGCAGTGCTAACCCTTGGTTGAACTAGCACTTGGTCTTGAAGTCACTCATCATGGCTTCTACTTGTTTTTTCTCTCTCTCTCCTAATACAGAATTGGGGCATCTGAAAGGTGAACACTCTAGCTCTGGACTCTAAGGTCCACGGTGTGTAATTGTGGGGAGCACATAATTTCATCTCAGAGCTTCCAAAGCTGCTGTATGGGAGTGAGTCCCTAAGCTCCGGAGAGAGCCTAGTTGATTGACTGCCCATCACCCAAACTGAGAAAGGACTTTGCTGTATCTCTGCTGATGGTTGAGCGTGCAGCCATTCTCTTCCAGAAGAGAGGGCTGTGGAGAGAGGAGAAGGGAACATCCAGAGTCCAAGAAAAGGAACGCCATTAGCGAGCACACGCGAAGTGTCAGAAAGCATGAAGGAGTGAAATACCCGATTCAGTGGTGGTTGAGTCCTACAAGGTGAACGAGTTCCCAGCGTCTCCCAGACTAAATGACTTCAATTGTGGTAGTTCGGTAATCACTTACAATCAGTAGGGGTCCCTGGAAATTTGCAGGTCCGCTTTCTTGCACAGTTTGGTGACAATTATGTGCCATGGCTGTGTTTACAAATTAGGGATTTTCAAGGGCTCCAAAGAGAGCCTTGGAAAATGCCAAGCAAAGAACTGCTGTTTCGCATCTTTGTTCCCCAGCAATGTCGCTGGCAGCTGTTCAAGAAGCAGTGGGAGAAACGAGGGACCAGCCAGACCCTGGGCCTCGTCAGGGCACTGCAACTTAGTCTGGGTTGCCTCAGGTACATCCCATATCGCCCCCAAGTCTCTGGATCTCTGTGTGTTCCACAGAGACACGGATGACAGATGCTCTGCTCACTTCACCGCCCCACTAAGGATCCGCAGTGCTAATGTGGGGAGGAAAGTATTTGGAAAGGTGCGGAGGTGGGTGTGGCAGTTGTTACTTGCCCAGGAGCCAACTCCAATTCACTGGGTGGTTACTGGGAGGCTAACTCGCGCCGTCATCTCACAAACCTCATTGAGCTGTTTTGGTGCTCAAGGGTAGACAGGTGTTGGACGATGACATGGTTCTCATACTTGAGACTACCCCGCACTTGAACTCCAGCTCTCCCCAGCGGAACAGGGCTAGGAGGACACAGACCAATCCAATCCACTGCCCAGGCCTTTGTCCTCAACTCTATTGCCTCCTTTCCAGTTGGGCTCTGGCTCCTGTGTTCTGCAGTCAAAACGAACTCGACAGCAGTAGGGGACTCAGCCAACTCGCTTACAAAATTCCCACTGGGTTTCAACCAGCTCACGTTCCCCCAAGGTCTATCCCTCCCTCTGGCCTAGACAGAGATGAAAAAAAAAAACCAACCCAACAAAAGTCACCATAGCCAGCTGCTTACCAAAAACGAGCAGAGGGTCAAGAACCGAAGAAGGGGAGAGCTCTTGCCAATAGATCCGAATGGCACCCTATTTAATCTAATTACCTGCAAAGCCACATCCAGCCATTAAGGATCCATATTCCGTAATAGAATTTCCTGCTATGGAAATACTCACCCACGCACAGGATGTTGAAGCAGAAGCCCTGGCTGACTGATTTGTTCACCAGCTGGTCGGGCAAGCTGTCAAACCCCACGTGCCCAGCCAGGGGGACAGTCCGGCAACCTTCACCCTAATTTGAAAATGGAAGGAGGGGAGAAAATGAAAAGGTGCTGAAAAGCAATCTGGGTCTCCCTCTCCATCCTAGGAAGTAACCGTTTCTAAACACACACACACACAAACACACACACACACACACACTTGCGCCTGTGCCCCATCTCCCGCAGGCCTGGTATGTGATCTCTGCCCCAGCCGCTGCCTTACTCCAAAGCAAAGAGGTCTCTTGGCTTCCAAGTCATGGAGTCCTGGGTACAGGCATCCTCTGAGCTCCAGAATGAACTTGACCATAGTTCCAGACAGAGCAGATCCCAGAGGAGGCTTATAAAGATGGGAGAGTGACATCAGGGGATGACGATACCAGCAGAAAAGGTTGCATGTGGACTTCATTGCTTACAAGTTGGGTAACTTTTCTCCAGCTGTCCTCCGTGTTGTTATTGTGTGCCATCAAAGCCGAGCCCGACTCACGGGGACGGAGTAGACCTGTCCCCTGGGCTTTCCAAGGCTGTAAGCTTTAGGGGAGCCCTGGTGGCAGAGTGGTTACGCATTGGGTTGCTAACCGAGAGGTTAAGAGTTTGGAACCACTGTTCTGTGGGAGAAAGATGAACCGTTCTACTTCCGTAAGAAGTTCACTGTCTCAGAAGGGCTCACAAGGGCAGTTCTACCCTGGCCTGTAGGGTTGCCATGAGTCATCATTGACTCGATGGCAGTGAGTGTGTGTGTGTGTGTGTGTGTGTTTCATCTTTACGGGAGCAGCACACCAGGTCTTGCTCTTGCAGAACAGCTAGGTGGGTTCAAACTGCCAACATTTCTCTTAGCAGCTGAACATTTAACCATTGCATCACCAGGGCACCTTGCATCTGTCATATGAGATAGTAATACCAGCTATCTCACAAGGGCAAACATTAACAAACTTGGCTGCTCATGGAAAAGTTGGCGATTCTGGTCCACCCAGAGGTGCCGCGAAAGAAAGTCCTGGCAATCGGCTTCTCTAAAAACCATCCATAGAAGACTCTATGGGGCACACAGTTCAACTGGAACACACATAGAGTCACCATGAGTCAGAATGGATTAAATGGCAACTGGTTTGGTTTGGACCTTAGAGATGACTGGGAGACTCCAATGCACTCGAAGATGTAATGGTTAACTTAGCACAGTGCCTAGTATAAGCAAAAGTGTTCAATAAAAACTACAAAGAGACTTTTAAAAAGTAGTCAATTTTCTTGGGGAGACATTCTGGGGATCTAAAACTGGCACAGAGCAGAGATTATGAACATAGGCTCTCTCGGCACTGGTCCTGAAGGGATCATCTGTCCTGGATTCCCTGTGTTTCCAGTTCCTATCTGTTCCAGTGTACATCCTCTGGTCTAGCTAGACTTGCAAGATAGAACTCAGATCATGATAGTTGGGGGGAAGAAGCGGGGGAGGAAGCATTTAGGAACTAGAGGAAAGTTGTATGTTTCATCATTGCAACTCTGCACCCTGACTGGCTTGTCTCCTCCCCACGACCCTTCTGTAAGGGGATGTCCAGTGGCCTACAAATGGGCTTTGAGTCTCCACTCCACACTCCCCACCTCATTCACAATGATATGATTTTTTGTTCTGATAATGCCTGATACCTGATCCCTTCGACACCTCGTGATCGCACAGGCTGGTGTACTTCTTCCATGTGGGCTTTGTTGCTTCTCAGCTTGATGGCCCCTTGTTTACCTTCAAGCCTTTAAGACCCCAGATGCTATATCTTTTGATAGCCAGGCACCATCAGCATACCGGGAGGGTGGAGGGAGGGTGGGTTGGAAAGGGCGAACCGATTACAAGGATCTACATACAACCTCCTCCCCGTGGGATGGACAACAGGAAAGTAGGTGAAGGGAGACATAGGACAGGGGAAGATATGACAAAATAATAATTTATAAATTATCAAAGGTTCATTGGGGGGAGCGGGAGGGAGGGGGGAAATGAGGAGTTGATGCCAGGGGCTCGGGTGGAGAGCAAATGTTTTGAGAATGATGAGGGCAACGAGTGTACAGATGTGCTTTACACAATTGATGTATGTGTGGATTGTGATAAGAGTTGTATGAGCCCCCAATAAAATGATTAAAAAAAAGAAAAGAATATAGGCTCTGATGTCAGGCAACCTGTGAGTCCCACCTCTACCACTTGGGGTCAGGGTGACCTCACTCCAAGTTTCCTGATCCATGGACTCACAAAGTGACTGCTCTGAGGATTGTATAAGACACTTATATAAGACACGGGTCCCCTGGCTGTCAGCAGAGTGCTTTGGGTATGCATGGAAGCTTCTAGAAATCATGGGGGAAGGGGGGTTCTATGATGCGTTCATTCTACGTTTCTGTGAACTTTTGGAAGGCACAGTTTGGCAAGAGATGGGTTTGGTTCTAGACCACTGTAAGAAAGTGAATATCGTAATAGAATAAGTCACACTGACTTTTTGGTTTCTCGGCGCAGCCACGTCAGGTTGACAGGATCTCGCCATCAATTCTGTGTGCAGCATTATGAGGAAGGAGTTTGAAATACGAAGAGACTGACCCTGGACGTGGGACCCAGAGATGGGAAGTGAGCACATGCTGCTGCTGGGAACGTGCTACAGACCGGCCTTCCATTTGTCAAAAAACAAACGAACCCTCCAAACAACAAAAACAACATCAAGTGCAAGAAAAAGGAGGTTTGTTGTTAGCTGTCGTTGAGTCTCTGGTGGCGTAGTGGATACAGGTTTCGTCAGCAGTTCAACACCTGCCCTACAGCATAGCTGTGAGTTGGCCTCGACTTGATGGTTGGCCTTTGAGTCTGCTCCTCACTTGCAATGGGGACTCTATGTTTAATGGACTGCATAGCTGTGATCCACAGGGTGTTCATTGGCTGACAGGGTTTCCCCAAGGAGATCGTTGAGCCTTTCCTCCTGGTGTGTCTCAGGCTGGAAGCTCGACTGACACCCCCCCAGCGTGCTAGCACAAGCCTTCCCTGACAGATGCAGGGTGGCAGCATGTGAAGTGCTTTGACTGGGAATCAGTCTCAAAAGTTAAACTCACCGCCCTCGAGTCGATGCTGACTCCAAGTGACCCTAGAGGACAGAGAGAACTGCCCCCGTGGGAGACAATGACTCCTCTTTATGGGAATACAAAGCCTCTTCTTTCTCCCATGGAGGGGCTGGCGGTTTCCAACTGCTGTCCTTTCAGCTAGCAGTCAATGCATAACCAATATATCACTAGGGCTCCGATAACTGATTTAAAACCAAACCAACCATTGCCATCGGATTGATGCCGATTCACAGCTACCCTATAGGACAGGGTAGAACTGTCCCGTGAGTTTCCGAGACTGTAACTTTTTACAGGAGTAGAAAGCCCCGCTTCCTCCTGAGGTGTGTTCGAACTGCTGCCTTTGTGTTTAGCAACTCAATGAGTAACCACTATGCCATCAGGGATCCAAATCAAACAGCAGCTGCTGCGATATCATTGCATTGTGAGCTCATGCTTCCACACAGGTTCCTGAGCTGACACTTTATGACTGCTTGTGGCTCCCTGGAGTGAAGGGAGTTGTCATTGGGCTCCAATTGGGTCCCTTGATTCCAGAGGGGTGAGCCACAACCATCCCTAGCCCTAGAAAGCAGAGGGCCCTTGCCTTGCCTGCAAGGTCCCCACGCTCTTTACTGTTACTGGATTTTCAAAGCAGGGATTGCCTTAAACAGGGGCAGGCTTCCAGAGAGTTGAGGTGGGGTTGGGTCCCAAGGGGCCTGCTTCTACTCGACACTTATCAACTCCCTAAGGCCATAGGGGAGAGCAGAGGAGAAGGGACATTAGAAACGGCCAAACTCAACAAGAGGAGGGGGCTGCGAATGAGTATAGGTTTCTGTTGGGTGGAGTGGCACCAAGATTTCTGCCACTGTGGCCAGGAGGCCTGTGCCAACATCCCAGGTGGAGCTAGTGGGCAGCTCTTCTGCCAAACCAGACCCCCTTTTAGTCCAGAAGGTCCGTGAAAGCCTTCACACTAAAGGAACCAGGGGGAGGGTGGCAGGGAGCCACTCGGCAGCTGACATAGAACTGGTGCCCAGATACCCTCTTCACTCAGCTTGGGATCCCACTCCCATGGGCATCAGCCCATCCTCCAAGAATGACAGGGCTAGTGGTGGTGCTTGCCATCTGGCAAGTTCATTCCCCGCCCACACTCCCAGTGGAGCATTCTTGACAGACAACCATATGGCACCCTTCAGTGGGGTTGGTGGATTCCGTGCTCCAGAGGGGCACCTGGAGACAGCCGAGGTCCCTGAGGGAAAGGCCACATCACTCCAGGTTTGGTTCTACACCCCGCCCTTCTCCCTTGCTCCACCCCACCCACCCACCCCACCCCTGTTTCTCCGCTTTCTTTTTTTTAAAGCAAGCCAAGGAAGATGCTTGGTTCCCCACTGTTGTTTCTTGGTCCTCGCCACTGCAGGAGAGGCATATGCTTTCTCGATGGAGCCTCCTCCGCAGCAGGCATCGGAAATTGGGATGGACCCAGAGTTGCGGTTTCCTGAGCCATATTTTATCACCCCTGGCTGCCTCTTCCTGTCTCCAAATTCGGCAACACGAAACTTTAAGTGCTTCAAAGCCTCTGATCCAAGTGCCAGAAGGAGAGGAGTTTTGCAAACTAAAGACAGTGGAGGGCAGTAGGGAGAGCACCACACCTTCTTACATCAGGGTCACAGCCTCGCAGGCATTCCCCTCCTCTCCCGCCTGCAATTGCTTCTGCCACTGCTGCCAACGGCCATGGGGTCCGCCTGAGTCCTGGTGACCCCATGCACAACAGAGGCAGATTATTGTGATCCATAGGGGTTTCTAGTGGCTGATTTGGGGAAGTGATTGGCAGGCCTTTCTTCCTTCCTTGTCCATCTCGTCTGGAAGCTTCACTGGAATCTGCACAGACTGCTGGTGGCTGGACATGAGATGCATTGGCCAGGAATCAAACGAGAATTCTATCACTGCTCTAGCCCAGTGCTGTCAGCTCCCTAAATAGCGGAAGAAA